GAGAAAAAGAAAATACACTCTTACACCAAGAGCACCTGCTCTCTTTTCTTCACGCTCTCACTCACTCTCTTTCTCTCTCTCACAAAAAAAATACATGCAAAAGAAAGTTTTTATATATAAAACCTCTTTAACCTAAAGAGGGACTGCACCAATCATTAGATTAAAAGGCAATCAAATGGTTGTAAAATAAGACACAATCTCAACAGAAATAAACACTTATTCAAAAATTTCTTGTTAGAAGCCCGTCTAGAAAGGAAAAACACCCCAAACGTGGTCGAAGGTGATGTTTGGCATCGATGATGATTTTTCCTTAACAATTATCCTCAGTGATTTTTGGAATTGATGATTTTTTTAATTGTTATTTGGTATCATTTATGCCTTGTGAACCGATTTTTGAGAAATCAGCTTTGAATGTATATGGTACTGATTTTCAAGGGTTAATTATTTTTATATTAGAGTTATTATTCAACGACATTTTGGATGCCATGTCATCCTAAAACATAGGAATAAGCTAAAAATAAGGAAATCACCCAAAAAGGTAATCCCTGGCTGATTTCAAAAATCCATTTTTGACCAATTTTCTAAAAGTCACCAAAATCAACTAACCAAACAGAAATTTCAATACCGATTCCTCTAATGCTGATGTGGCTCAAATATGACAGTGATTTTCAAGAAATCATCATCAATGCCAAACATCACCTAAGTTAAAGGATTTTGGTCTCAATAACATTTTTTTTGTTTATCAAAAAAACATGTAATTTTAGATTTGTAAAAATGTGTAAAAGTATCATGTCACAAATATCCAATAAAGAAAATTTATGCTAAATAAGCATATGCCATTGGAGATATTTAAGCTTATTTTCAAAAAAAAAAAGAAAAGTTTTGCCTCTTTTTTTGAAGTATAAATAATTTAACCTACATATTATTTGCATACCAACTTTCCTGTCTATCATTTGAAAGTGGACAGCTAAAGGGTTGCTCCTCATACAGAAGCCTAACCAATTTGAAAACGCTATTGAGTTGGTATGCTCCCTTTTAGTGGAGCCCATTTCTCTAGCTCCCTTTTAGTGGAGCCCATTTGCATACCAACTTTGCATACCTATCTATACTACATATTATTTGCATACCAACTTTCAGGATCAAATTCTGATTGCCCCATTCCCTAGCTCCCTTTTAGTGGAGCCCATTTCTCTCACATTAAGAGCATTTACCACTTTCCACCACTATAGTCTATAGCAATATTTCGAATATTTAAAAGGGTGGTTTATTAGAACACCCCTACAGTTTTGATGAATTAAATTGAAACCTATTTTATAGTTTTCATTTTATTAAAATAGTTTTATACTTTGCAACCTATTAACTTAATCAACCTTTTATTAACAAGTGTTCATTTTGTCATATAGAAAACAATAACATGATCACCTATACTGAATATAAAATGTTCGACGGCATAGGTATATGATTGTTATTCCAAAAGCACCTTTGACACTTTTTTTTTACAGAAAATAGAATTGACTAAATAGAGCCAATTAGAGTGATTGCCTCTGTCTTATTAAGGATAAAAATGATATTAAAACTTATTTTTATTTATTTTTGATTAAATTTATCCAAATAGGTTTTGGTAAATCTAATGAAATGTTGGTTAAGTAAAATAATTATAAACTATAGAGTTGTTTTAATAAAATGCAAACTATAGATAAATTTTAATAAAGGATAAATCTCTTAAATTACCCCTACTTTTTAGCGTAATGACACACGGGGTCGTTAATATCCATTAATATTCCGTCGAAATTCATACACACTTGACACCATATGATATGATGTGTAAATGTTTTTTAAAACCCAATTTTACCCTTCGTCCCTCTCCCTTCTTCACCATCCCTCCATTCTCACAAGTGGTGGTGGAGGCTATGGCAGTGGCGATGCTGGTGGAGGCTATGCATCTGGCAGTGGCGGAAACTATGCAACTGGCGGTGGTAGTGATTATGCAGGTGCTGCTAGCGGGGGCTATGGAGGTAGCGGTGGCGGCAGGAGTTACTGAGGCAGCGGTGGCGGTGGTGTAGATTATGGAGGAAGTGGTGGTGGAGGTTATGGGAGTGGCGGTGAGGGTAATGGAATTTCCGGACGGCAGTGCGACGGTGAGAAAGGTTGGAGATCTCAAATCTGCAAGGAGAACCCAGATCTGAGATCAGGCCCGTCGTCCCCCGCTTCAATGTAGGAACTCACCGTCCATCTGAGATTTGCAAGGAGAACCCAGATCCCAGTATTGCACCACCTTCAGATCGCACACTCAGCTTGTAAAGGTACCTTATACCCAGAACTCTGCGTTTCAACTCTGTCTTCCTTCCCAAACCTAGCTTCCAAAACCATCCCACAAATGATCTCTTCTACTGTCGACTACACCGTAAAAGAAGTCGAGATTTCTGCCTCTAACTGCACTGGCATCCGAAAGAAGCTCAAAGCGCAAGCTTGAACAGCGGGCTCTGGATGACTGTTTAGAACTTTTTGACGAAACCATCTCAGAGCTTCAAACCGCTCTCTCTGATCTATCACCAAAGCTCACCTTCAAAGCACTACAATGACTTGCAAACGTTGTTAAGCGCTGCTATGACGAATCAGTACACCTGTCTCGATGGATTATCCTTGGGCAATGAGCAGGTAATCAGATTTGGTCAGTAATTCTCTAGCGATGCTTAAAAAGATGCCAAAGGCGGCCGATACCCTGAAGGACGAGGTGTTCCCAGAGTATGGTAAAATGGCCGGCAGGTTCCCGGGATGGGTGTTGCCCAAAGATCGAAAGCTGTTGCAGGCGTCGACCAACACGATGAAGTTTGATCTGGTGGTGGCTAAAGACGGGAGTGGCAACTTACGATAGGTGAGGCGATAGCTGCGGCGCTTAATTCCAGTGCTACCAGATTCGTGATCTATATAAAGGCAGGAACATATTTCGAAAATGTGGACGTGGGCAAGAAGAAGACCATGCTGATGTTCGTCGGAGATGGGATCGGAAAGACAGTGGTCAAAGCTAGTCGCAATGTCGTCGATGGCTGGACTACTTTCCGTTCTGCTACCGTCGGTAAGTGCAATAGTCATCCCAGCACGGGTTGACAGAATCGACATCGCTCTCAGAGGTTGGGTTTTTTATCGTTTTTCTTCTCCTGAGTTCAATAAACAAAAAAAAAAGGAAAAAATATCTTCTTCTGAGTTCTACCGACTCTATAGGCTTGATTTCTTTTATATTTTTAGGGTAAGTTTTGAGTTCTTATTGAGCGTCGATCGGGATCTGGTGGTTATCTGTCAGAAGTATACATCGGTGCCGACAATCTGCCGACTGTATGCATTTATCAAGATCAACGGAGGAACCGATTTGGTGTTGACGGAGAAGAATATCTCTTTCTTCGTTCGGGAGCTCAACGGAGGGTTGAAAGAATGTCTACGATGACGCCAATGGTAGTTTAAGAATCTCAGGGCTCAAGGATAACCAGAAAGAAGGAGGAAGAGAAATAAGAAGAGCGGATGAAATTTAAGGAATAATGAAGGGCAAATTTGACATTTTATTTTCTTTAAATAGCATTTAATGACGATCATAAAACTTAAGCGTACCTCAAAACAATAACTAAACATGTCATTAAACTAAACAGTAGAGATTTATCTTTTAATGAATCTATAAATTTTTATAGGGATGTTTTAATAAATGACCCTATTTAAAAAGATACATTATTTAATATTTAACCCTCCTTGAGCTTCAATCAAATATTATATTCACCCCTCAGGTTTACCTATTAACACATATTCCCTTTCATCACGCAATCACAAGGGATTCACCTAATAACACATAAAATATTATCTGGCCTAAATCCTGTTGTTTAACTTTTCATTCCCATCTTCACCTTATGGAAGAGAACAAAAGTTTATTCCTTAAAAAAATACAAATAACACTAATTTTGTTTGTATAATATTCAAAGAAATATAATATATATATATATATATATACAAAAAGGATAAATTTGTTTTATAAGAGATTTTAAACGTCATCTACTCATCTTAGCAATTTCCCTCGCCGAAACCAATTGCTTAGTGGTTGGTCACATTTCTACATGTTTTTTTTTACTGTGATAGGGGTTAATAATTAAATAGATAAACCCGATAGGAGTTGTTTGAATTTGATAAAAAATCAGGGAAAAAATAAATAATTGGGAAATTGTCTAAAACCCACCATAACTTTTCAGCATCTCTTAAACTTACTATAACTTTTCAAAACGGCCAAAACTCACCATGCATTAAGTTTTTGTTTTCCAAAACTCACCTTCCATAACAGAGGTGTCCATGTCAGCATAAATAACAATTTTTTATGACCAAATCACCCTTGAATGGCGAGTTAGAGGAAAATGGTCTTTTTCATTTTTCAAATTTATTTATTTTTTTTACATTTTTAGTGTTTTGTTATAATTTCTAATATTTTTTATAATTTCTGTTTTTTTACATTTTTCTATTTTCTACCATCTATAAAATTTTCTGTATTTTTTGTTATTTATTTGCAATTTCTGTGTTTCTCTATAATTTTTGGTGTTTTTTCTATAATTTTTATTTTCTGATTTTGTTTTTCAATTTTTATACTTTCTATAATTTGAAAATATTTTTTTTATTTTGTGTGTAATTTCTATAATTTTTTATATTTTTTATAATTTCTGTGTTTTTATATGTATTTTATATTTGAAAATATTTTTTAATTTTTTTCTTTTTTTTTCATGTCTAAATATTAAAATATATGTATATATTTTATATTTTTTATGAAAGGATAAAATAGTAATATATTAATAGCCATTAGTCTCTATAACGTCAAATTAGTGACGATGAATTTTAGACATTTTGAAAAGTTAAGGTGAATTTATGAGAAATGTTAAAAAGTGGTTTTGACAATTTCCCTAAATAATTTAACCTACAAATAAGAATTATAAATGCTTGTCCGTAACGGCTATAAATGAGTAAACGTGGTGGAATGCAACTGGTATCCAACATTCCAACGTCTTCCTTCCAAGTTTGGCTCTTTCTAGTTTCTATCTCTGTAAAAAATTTGAAAATCAAATCCGTTCAAATTACAGAAAAATACAGACAAGCCACTCCAAAATTTCCATCCATAGCAGCATTTATACATCAAGGCAACGCTGCAATCACGCTCTCCTGCTCTTCTCGCCATGGAAGGCGGCCAAGAGCTCGAGTTCCACGCGCTTCGCCCGTCGCCTTCTCTTGTATCTCTTGTTCCCTTCTCGCCATCAATCACGTCCTCGCCTCGCCGGCTTTCAACTCACTTCAGCGAGCCGAGCCGCCCTATCCGGGCAGCTCGGCAACTCTGTTGGGTGTCCCTCCAAGGTCGTCTTGTTGGAGCAGAGGAAGCCAGCTCGGTTAAAGCCATTGGAGGTAAATTGAGTGGAGAAGAGGGCCTGGCTTGGGAGCTCTTTAAACCCATTCATCGGATCTTAATTGTCGCCATAGTCGCCATTGCCGTTGCGGACTTGAACTTTAAGAAATCTCGCCAGATATGGCAGCTGAGAAGATCTGTAGATCTCAGAGTGCGTAATATAAGCTTGTATTAATTAATTAGTTTGCTTTTATTTTGCTACGCATTTATTTTTCTTCTACTGTTTATCAACGTTTTTTCTGTTAAGGTAAGGGTTCAATTTAGTGGGCTTCTACCTCTGGGTTTTGTTTCATTGATTCTAAATGTTTTTAAACAAATTTGAACCTTTTCCTAAAACAAAGGTTGAGTTTTGTTTGAGATTCATAATTGCAATCTAGGCATTCACATTACTTCTCTATAGTCTATATGAAGTTCATTAGCCCTTCCCAAATGATTTACCTTTATTAATCTCTAGTTGCTGAACTTGTCATGAATCATAATTCAGTTTTTTGCCCCTTTTTTATTTGCTAGTTTATTAGTATCTGAATTTTATTCCAGAAACGAAGCAGCTCTGATGGCTCACTTTGATGTTTGATCTGGTTTTTCAGGATCAAGTTCTATCCAGCATGCAGAAGAAGCTGGATGACCTCTGTGAGCAGCTTAGTTCCATGAAAGAGAAAGAGCACCCTGAAATTGGGTTTGACATGTTCACAAACAGCAAGGATTTCCTATTTAGTGAAGATATCAATCTTGGTCAGACCGGGTGTTCTGCTTGTGGTTGTCGGGTTTGCAATCAGAATCGTATTTCAGAAAATGATTCAGTGGTAATTATCTGACTTACTGAGAAAAATTTGCATCCATTAATAAGGTAGGTTATGTATTTCGTTCTCTCTCTCTGTGAATCAGCGAAACTCTATCGGAAAAGCATGTAGTAGAGATGAAAAGTTCAAATTGAAAGTACCTTTCACAAATGGGGCAGAGCAAGAGGAGCGCCGGATGTCCGATTTATCAGACTGGGCTCCAAGTGTATCTTCTTCAGCAGAAATCCAGGTAACTGAACATCTAGAGACAAGCTTTAAATTCTATGTAACATGAGTTCATTTCAATGGAGCTTTATATAATTGTAGTTGAAAATGAAGCATCTGTGCAATGGTGGTCCATGATTATGGTTAAACATGTTAACCAACCAAGAGAATCTATAAGAAATACTTATCTGTCATAGCAGAAGTCCACTCTCAGGCATGGAGTTTTAATTCTATTTCTGAAGAGAATAAATTATTTTACTGTTTTTTATTTATGATTGAACAAATGTTTCCCCATGTTCTTGTGGTTATTTGAATTCTGCAATAAAGTCTCTGAATTCAAAATAATCATTCTTCTAGTGCAGCAAAAGAAAGCGAATTGTTTTTTTGGTCTTTCAGAAATGCAATTTCAAGTGGTAGAATAGTCTCCTCACAATCACTAAGTTTTTGCACAATTCTGTGGATATGATCCTTAGAGAGTATTGGCGCCACAATCTTGTTGTTAGGATGCAATCTTAATTCTAAAATGACCAACCAAAACCAAAAACAAAAATAAAAAAGTCTTGTTTCACTTCTAGTATTTTATTTCTTCCTCTTCAATAAGATCTAGTCAACATGATATTGGGTTAATGAGCCATGACAAAGCCATTTATAACATTATTTATGATTTGATTTTTAATGAAAGGTTCATTATTATTCATGGGGAAAATTAATGTGTATAGTATTGTGGTTCCATCAAATGGATCATGGTATCCACAAGTGACAGGGTTAGAACTTGGTTGCATGTGCAAGAGACTCGCGTTCATTTTTTATAGGCTCATCTCACTTCACAAGCATTAGGCAATTCACCAAGATAGAAACCTGTTATTTGTGAGAGCTCTATATGAATATGATAGAGTGATACATATCAATCACATATGGTGACTCAGGGTCTACAAATAGGTTTAATATAGATTGCAGTGAGTGAATCCATTGAGGTTGCATTTATAATGATCCGTCCTAGTATAGAAAATATGTTTCTAACCTATCTCTCTTTGGCCTATGAGAAATATATAGTCTAGGCATAATGTTGTTAACTTTGAGTTGCTTAACCAGTGAGGCCAATCTTGGTCGATACCTGAATAGCTTGGATTTTATAGTACCAACCTTTTAACTCTGAAATTCTTTCTTTTCAGAGGTCATGTTTAACACAAACATGTGAACACACCTTTGAATTCTGAAAATAACTCTTAAATTTTCCAAAGTGCTCTCCCCTTTGAACACAATCAATACTAAATTAATAGGTTATTTAGACAACTTCTATTCACCATAGATGTTGCACATAATCTCCCCATAAACTATGCTTTTAATTGTATAAAAATGATTATAACATCATTTGTGTTATATATTCAAGGGGTAAATCTATAAAATAGACATTTTCAGAGATTCCAGTATTCAGAATACTAAACTACATCACCATAATCAAAACTCAAAAAAGGCAAAGAAGTGTTTTTTTTTCTTCTTTTTTTATGGTTAAAACATTAGACTTGTTTTCAGAACTCTGTGTTTAGCCCGTGGCATGGACCGAAATGGTCCATCCACAATATGAACACAGTACCAAACACCACCAAAAGTTCAGATTTACCAAACACCATCATCTTGTCCTAGGGTGAACTTAGTACTCAATCTTGAGGGAATGAGGGAATATCGAGATGAAGTTATTTTTGGACACAAAATCAAAATATAATATTTTGCAAATAGTTTGTGATATTACTTTTAAAATTATATTTTATATTTTAGATATTATATTTTGGATAGTACTCAGTACTGAAAAGAGCAGAATGGCAGAACAGGACTCATGTAGTCAATCCCATATTGTTGGGACAAGGTTTGGTTGAACTGAGTTTAGTTGAGAATCTTTTTGGAAATTGATTTGTAGTTTGAAAGGTTTTCTATAAAAATGCAATACCTAGAGATTGATTCAAGGGGCCATTGTTTGGTGTAATAGTAAAATCTTGGGCTGGCAAGTGTGAGAAAAAGGTTTGTATCCACCCCTCCCAAGACACCACATAGCTTGGATCAACATTGGGTAATGGCCTTTTTTGACCTAGGGATTAATTTCTAAATAGTTAGGGAATGGACAATATAGTACTCTATGGCCTAAACTATTGCAAAAGGACCTTTTTCTAAATTTCAATTTGTTGGGAATTTAGCTGCATTTCTAATAATGGGCACAATTACAACTAAAGAAGGTTGCAAATTTTCCTAATTAGATAGAAAGTTTCTAATTAACACATGCAAGACACAAACACTTTTACTTTGATTGATTGAGGATTTAACAAGAATTAGAAGTGTTCTTTTTAAGCCTGGAAATTGGAATTCTAAAAGGATTCCATGACTCTCTAGAGCTGACTGGGCAGCTCAAGTTGTTGTGTCATCTCTCTCTCTCTCAATGTCCCTGACCGGGCAGCTCAGGTTGTTCTGGGCTGGTTTATCTAAACCACCATAATACACCTCTCTAATTACAATCTGAAATATAATTAAATACTCCAGTGGTTAGCTGGTTGATCTGCATTTGTAAATGCACAATTATGCTTTCTTTACAGCTTAACACATTAGCAGTAGAGCAAGATATATACAACCTCCAGAGGGAATGTGAAGAAAAGGATGCTACCATAAGGGAGCTTGAAGCTGTTGTCCGCTCATCTGATGTTGCTGGTTCAAAGGTACTTGATAATTGATATCCTTTAAGTTTGTGCATACATCTCAATGGTGAATCCTCTATTGTTTAGCATCATTTCTTCTCTTTGGTCACAGAGAATTGCAGAGCTAGAAGATGTGATCCGAAGAAAAAACATGATTATTACAAAACTGAAGAAGGATATGGCGGTTCTAGAACAACAGGTGAGAATAACAAAATCCCCATGACTTAATAATTCAGTTTTCCTTTGGAACCTTTCTTTTGAATTCAAGTACTGAAGTTCAAATATATATATAGGTGGCACAACTAACAAGGATTCAGAGGCCCTCCACCTTTACCACAAAACCAGATGTTAAGAAACTTCCAGTCATGTCAGATAATATCCTTTATGGCATGGATAGTAGCACTAGTCCATCATCTTCGGATTCTGATTCTCCTGTCGAGAACCGATCGCGTGGTCCAGTTCATGAACATCGGAATAATCATGCTCTTCAGGAGGGAGTTACTTTGGAGAGTGTGCAGAAAGTGTCTTCAGCTAAGACTCCAAACTCCTCACCAAGACCTATAGACAAACCTTCAAAGATACGGGATGTGAGCCCTCTCAAGGAGAACTCCATGAATCAAAGACTCAATTCCATGGCTACTACAAGGCCTAGGCAATTGGCATCTGGTGGTGGAGATGTAAAAAGGAATAGGAGACATGGTCGAACTTCTGCAAAGGACATGACCCCACAAAAGAGATGGATATAGTAAGTATTATTTTATTGATGATATTTCTAACTTAAAAGTTTTTGTTGTTCTATTTATATTACAAGCCAATAATACTAATAATAAATAATAATTAGTAACCTGGTTATTTAAAAAGCAAACTGAATATATTTATAAATAGGAATAAAAGCCCATTTAGATGGGTAAGGACTAAAATGCCACAAAATGAGTGCAAATTATTGTTAGAGTGCTCAGTTATTCTAACAGCATGTTTCAAACCTTATATTTTGTATGTATGTGTACTGTACATATTTGTATTTGTACTCCTTCCAAACTGAGAAAAAGTGAAAATCAGAGTGCATGGTCTGTCATGATTTATGAATCAGTCATGCTTTGTGCATTTCAAAGGACCATGGTTGCTTTCATAATGTTCTTAATATATTCTTTTTTGCTATAACTTTTAGGTTGTGGCCGAGATATTGATGCTTGAGGAAATTTTGGTATTAAACATTGTCAATTTCAAGTTGGCATACTGTGGTGCACTTCGAAAGGCTTTTCATTAGTATCCAGATCTTCCCAGCACTGTGAACAGATGATCAAGAGAAAAGGAAATAGAGAGGACCTACTATTGTGAACAGATCTTCACAGCTTTGAGAAGTGTAATATTTATCTTTGCAAGTAAAAACTTACTATAATTACAGCATAGCTGCACATATTTTTATGCATCAGTAGATACAGCACCATAAGAAGTAGAGAAAAGGAAATAGAGAGGACCTACTATTGTGAACAGATCTTCACAGCTTTGAAAAGTGTAATATTTATCTTTGCAAGTAAAAACTTACTATAATTACAGCATAGCTGCACATATTTTTATGCATCAGTAGATACAGCACCATAAGAAGTAGAGAAAAGGAGAAATATTGATTATATTGTTTTCATTATTACTTTGATAATGTCTACCTTATCAACATACAGCATAAGTGAAGGCAGAGTCAAACATGACTATAAATGAATAAGTTTGAAGTTTGAACTTCCAAGCTTGAATTGGAAGTAGAAAGTAGAAACTGCTGGGTTTGTTTTTAGTATTGGCAAATGTGTTGATTAAAGGCTCACAGCAATAGATTTGCAAAATCAACCTTTTTAGTACATAGGACATGGGTTGAAATGGTGAAAAATTATTTAAGTGTCCATGAATTAACAATGAAACTCTGCAAGTGTGAGCTTGTCTACGCGGTCACTCCCAAGCCTAGATAAAAGAGGGTTGGCATCAGGTTGGTAAAAAGGCAGCCCGGTGTGCCTTTCTAGTACTTGGCAAATACTCTAATATTCTGATTCTAAACTTCCATTGAAGCCCAATTGATCAACTAATACCACATTAATTTTCTTGGATTATTTGACATCAAGACCATAGATTCCTCTCCATGGACCATATTAATCCAACCTTGAACTGAAAATGGAGACCGAGTATATGTTTGGTTTTGTTGGTGTTTATAGAGAGGCCATTTATTGCTTTAAACGTTTATTTGTACTATCTTACTTTAAACGTTTTTTGCTTTCCACTTCAGATTAACACCTATAAATACATGCTACATCAACATTTTATTTCAAGAAATGTTGGGGCATTAGGGTTATGGGGAAATGAAAATTTGATGTTTATTCAAATGCCCCGTGCACAAAACTCAAAGCATTTCAGTTTCCTAGTTTTATTTGATAAATGGTGAAACCAAACAGTAGTTTCATATGTAATAAACGCCAATGCCTATATGGTGGCGCTTTTTCAATAAACGCCCACAGAACCAAACATTACCTAAATCTACTCCTCACAGAGCATTTCTCATAGCACATTGCATCTGCACATCAGGAACATCCCCTGTACTTGTATGTTGTCATTCATGGGGAGATTTTCTCAAATGCATGTTTCATGTTTGGGATGTAATGTGATGTGAGGAGCAGATCCAGATTCCTGAAAGCATTGCTACTAAGTATTCTTAGCAAGGACTTCAACAAGATGTATATTCCTTACAAAAAGAAAAAAACAAAAAGTAATATACTAAACTTTTGTTATTTTTAATTTTTAGGGTTTATCAAAAGGTCATAAAATGCAAGTATTTTTTTAATAAGCAAAATATACTATTCCAGCTCAAATTTGGACGGTGATAATAGGCTTTTTCAACTCTTAGCCCATCTTTATGGCGTTGAATTCATTGAATCTTACCTAGCAAGGTATGCCTCCGTCGTCATATCAGTGACATTGATCCAACCTATCAACTTTGTGGAGAGAATGTTGAAACCATAGAACACATCCTCCTCTATTGTCCAGCGGTCCGACCAATCTGGTTTGGTTCTATTTTGAACTTGAGAATAGAGTTCTATCCTAATCAAAGCCTAGTTGAGTGGTTGATGTCTTGGTAGAAGGTAGAGAAAAAATTAGGTACCCCTGTCTTTCTTCATGGTGCCACTATCCTATGGTTGATTTGGAGGCAAAGGAATAACACCATCTTTAATAATAAACCTTTCAATTAAGAAGCTATTATAAAACGTTCTCAAGGTTTATGTGATTTTTACTTAAAGAATGGAAAAAGTTGTTACTCTTACACTACTGAGACTACATTTCCTACTCAGAACCACTCTTGGACTAAACCAAGTATTGACCGGCTAAAAATAAATATTGATCGTGCAGAGAAAATAAAGTCGGAGCTGGTATTGTTATCAGAGATCATAGGGGTGTTCATATTTAATCCTGTGCAGTTCCTCTCCCAGCTGGTTCCCTCTCTTCAAATTGAAGCCATTGCATTCCTCATGGGTATCAAATTTGTTATTGAGTTACATCTTGACAATGTGGCTTTTGAAGGCAATGCTAAACATGTAACTGACCTCTTGTTGGTGGATTCTTCAACCCCACCGTGGTGTGTTAACACTATTATTGAAGATTGCAGAGGTCTTTTATCACGCCTCCGTTCATTCTTAGTTACTCATACCAGAAGGATGACAAATATGGCAGCCCACAAAGTTGCTCAAATTGCTATCAATGTTTCTTCTATTACTACTTGATCGGCTTGTCTTGATTTTTTGACAGTCGTTGTTTCCTCTAATATGCTTAATTGAGATAACTGAAAGCCCTCCTTTGCTCAAAAAAAAAAAAAAAAAGAAAAAGAAAAACTCTTGAGCTCTCGGCCCATCTTCACTTATCTTCTTTTTCCTCTTCTCTTCCCCTGCAATTAGAAGGAATGATCAATTAGTTTGTATCACTATACACACGTATGAGGACATGAACTGTCTCATCCCAATGGTACAGATAAATTCGGCCCACCAACTACTTATGAAAACATGAACTCTGTCATCCCAATGGGGTTCAGATGAGGTAGACACGAAGTTGTAAGCACGTTCAATGAACACTTGAATTTTTTGACACCTGCCCCTTAAAATACCCTCAGCCCACCCTGGAAAAAGATTAATACCCACTTCCACTTTTCACAGTTGTCAAAATATTTATCAAGTGTTCATTTAACATGCTTACTTTGATGTACCTACTAGATCCAGTCCCATCTCAACGGTGCAGATCAATTCGGCCCACCAACTACTTTTGGGCATGAGTCCTTCGGTGACTTGATCAACGATCAGACAATCTGAATGGTCTGAAAGTGACTTTGAAGTCTCTGATTGCTCAATTTTAGTTGGCCCAACTCAAGTCGGACCTGACCTAATGCTCCTGCAGTCTAGGCTGTTCAGCATGCTGTGGAACCAATGATAATTTTTTCGTATATGGGACTCGCACCTCTCGGGATGGGGCCATGAGTTTATTACTGACACGAAGTATTATCAGTGGTCCCACAGCCAGCTGATCAGTCATTGCGTTCAGTTAATTTGAATTAAAAATAAATAAATTTAGTCATATTCTTGATCATGATTTAAAGTCTTTGTGTAGGTGTATGAGTACTTTAAACCATACTCCTTTTTATTTTTTAGTTTTTTTAAGATTCAGTTATAAACACACATATGCATATATTATTTAATAAATAGATGAGTTCCCAAAAAAATATGATACAATACGTTTAATATTGGGTGTATTAGGACATATCGTATCGATACTTTAAACTTTGCTTCCGATTAATTGTACTCCTAAATGAGTCATAAAACCCAATAAAAGATGATTATACAAAAATATATTCACAAGTTTTTTCAAAACCCATCAATGCGCCCGATTAAATCTGACCCAAGCCTAGCTCGAATTACGTTGGATTGAACTGGGTTAATAAACTCAGGTAGTACCTGGGTTGGTCCAGCCCGAGCTACCTTTAGGGTTGGACATGGGTTGAAACCTCGATTCCATCCAACCCAGTGACCCACCCGCGTTGCACCAACTTTCATCAGACATCACCGTTGAAGTAGAGAAGGGAAGAATAACTGCCAAATGGTAGTTGGTTGTTGGTTCCCATCTCCGACTTCTAGTTAATCTGGCGCTGTCTATAGATCAAAAGGGTTGTATTAACTTGGAAGAAAGGAATCCAAATGATATGCTGTGGCATACGCATTAGCCCATTTGACACATCAAGCTTCTGATCATTACAACAACCACGTGATTACAGCCCTCCTGTGTTTCTATTCGAGATTAACGGTTCCGATTGGTTCTTGTGTTGAAATTCCTGTGCATCTCGACACAGCATAGAGTTTCAGTTTACACCTACAGAAACAAAAGTTTGAGTGAGAAAACCGTTGAAAGGTCCACACGCCACAAGCCGTTGGTCGTCGCTGACGCGGTTCTCACTTTCAGCGTCTCTCTAAAGACCGCTCTTCCAACAACGCCACCATGCCAAAGCTACATTACGCGTCTTCTCCATTTCTGTCTCCAAACCCTAACCCTAAGCATCTCTCCCCTCCCCCCCCCTCTCTCGCCTTCGTCTTTCCTCGATTGTCACTCTTGTCTGCGTTTCGATTCAGATTTCCCTAAGAGAAACCTCATGAGTGGCCTTAACGTCTCTGGAATACATCTCTTTTCGTCTCTCCTAAACGATCGGAGCTTCAGATCATTTTCTGTTTTCCCGCCCGATCCTTCTCTAGCGTGATTGATTTGTGGTCTCTGTTCTTGTTTGATTTCGAATTGGGAGGTTGAGGAGGGAATTGATTCGATTTAGGATGTCGAATTTGTATGGAGAATTCAATCAGAAGATTGATTATGTCTTCAAGGTCGTCTTGATTGGAGATTCTGCGGTCGGAAAATCTCAGCTTCTGGCGCGGTACGCTCGTAATGAATTCAGTTTAGATTCAAAAGCAACAATTGGTGTTGAATTCCAGACAAGAACGCTAGTTATTGATCACAAGACCGTCAAGGCACAGATATGGGATACGGCTGGCCAGGAAAGGTACTCCTTTATTCTTCTAAACGTATCATCTTTGGAAGGTAAAATTAGTTGAGACAATGAAATACTTTCGAACCTTTTGCTATTAATTCTGGAGTTTTTTCCCATTTCGCCACCTGCTGTATTCATAATGTTTTGCTAGAATAAGTTATAGCACCTTAAGGGCAATAACTTAAGCTTGGTTACAGTTGGGGCATTAAGAGTATTCGTTATCTTGCTTCCCATATCAGTACCATTAGAATGTGGGTGTCGCTTTTGTTTTATTTTGGATTACTTGATTATGAATTCGGAATGCATATGGCTAAACAGGGTTTGAGTACGTTTTTTCTATCTGGACTTACTTGTGCACGTCAATATAAAAATGCTTTTGTACAGGGAATTTACATCGGTACATACAAAAGAATGCCTATACCACCAAATCCCAATGTTTATAAAAAGATTCTCATAAACAAAAAAGTAGCTATGATCTCCACTATTAAAACATCTGTATACAAATATGAAGAAAGCATTCTGCCCCATATTTTCTGCTAAACATCCTCAACTGAATTAGCTGAATTTGAATTTTTCTCTTTCCACACTACCCAAAAAACAAATCCAGGAATCATTTGCCAAATTACCTTTTCCATTCTTATTTTAATCCTTGCAAATTCCAGTGCTTCAAGAATATCTCCATAGATGCAGAACAGCAACCTCTAACAGCAAAAAGCTTAAAAACTTCTGTCCGATTTTTTCTTTTTTTTATCAATATACTTTTGTCCAAATTTCATAAGTGAATCTTTAATGAATCGATAAATGGTCCACCAAGTCCTCCCAATTGGTACACACCGCACACTCTGATGAGCCTGTCAGCACTCCTCTCTTCAACAAATTGTCTCTAAGAAGAATTTTATTTAAGCAGCCCATCCAAAAAAGAAAAGGCTACCTTTGAAGGTATATTCTTACACCATACTGTATTAGTTGGGAACCCCACATTTTCTTGCATCATCAACCTATTATAAAAAGATTTAACTGAAAACTGTCCAGATTCCCCCCCAGATCACACCCTTCTATGTTCTATCCTCTCTGTTAGGGTTCAATTGCATGATGTATACATTTTGTAACAGGCCCAGCATTGATTCCGCTTCCTAATCATTAAAAGGCTTTCTAAATTGAGGATTCCATACACACCCATCATTAGTAGCTTGCAAATAATCAGCCACCTTAGCTTCCTTGGCCGTAGCTATCTCAAACAAGGATGGGAACACTTCCCTCAAAGGACTGTCTCTGCACCAAGCATCTCTCCAAAACTTCACTCTAGTTCCGTTTCCCACATCAAATTTGGTTTGTTTAAGAAAATAATTATGGCTTTTTTCTATGCCTTTCCAAACCAAACAACCATATGAATGACTGGCTTCCCCCAGTTCTCAGGCCATATTTCTAGAGTTGTATTTAGCTCTAGTAACTTTCCTCCATAGCCCTCCACTCTGCTCCCCAAATCTCCAATACCACTTTTCTAATAGGACAATGTTCAACTCCTTCAGCATTCTAATTCCCAATCCCCCACTTCTTTTATGTTTACACACCAGACCCCAATTCACCAGTGAATTGTTTCTTCTTTCCAACTGTGCCATAAAAAATATCTCATACTTTTCTCAACTTCTGCTGCCATCTTGGTTGAGATGGGATTCATGGATTGCAAATGTATAGGTAAAGAGGCCAAAACATTTATTCACCATAATTAGTTATCCTACTTTGGATAGATATTTTCCTTCCAAGATGCCAACTTCCTTTCCACCCTCCCCATAATTGGCTCCCAAATGGACTTCAAATTACATTTGACACCCAGTGGCATCCCCAGGCAGGGGTGTCAATTGGACTGGATTTGGTCCAATCCGATCCAGTCCAATGTGAGTCCATTATAAATGGACCAGGTGCAATCCAATCCAATGAATGTTTTGGACCAATTTGGACCGGTCGAATTCAATGTCTGGACCGTCCAATCTGTTCAAATTCATTTTGATTTAGATTGGTTTCAACCCAAACCTGGTCCATTGACACATATATTCTTATCTTAAATCAATGGACCAGATATTGGCTTAATCCAACCCTATCCAATATAAATTTGTTACGGATAGACCAGGTCCAATCCAATCTAATAAATATGTTGGACTAGATTGGTCCAATCCAATATGTCTTGTTGGTCCGTCTAATCCGTCCAAATTGATTTTGGACTGGACGGGGTCCAATCCAAAACCGGTCCATTGACACCCTTGTCCCCAGGTACTCAATTGGAAATTTTCTTGCTTTACGTCTCATATACCATTTGCATTGATGAAGTTCTTGGACTTCCCCCATTGCTACCAGCTCACTTTTGTGTATACTGAAATGAAAACCTGACTCCACTTCAAACCATCTCAAAGTTTCTAGGAAATTCTCAACTTGTTCCTGGTTTGCCTTGTAGAAAAATAGGAAGGCATCTGCATATTGTAGTAAAGAGATGTTCACTCTCTCCTCCCCTATTGAAAAACTTTCCAGATAACCACTAGAAACTGACCTTAAAATCATTCTACACAAAGCCTCCGTCACACATAAATAATAGTGGTGACAGTGGGTCTCTTATCCCAACCCCCCTTGATCTTTTGAAACTACCATAGGACACTGCATTCACCAAAACTAGGAAACAGATCTCAATCAAAGGGAAGACAGCTAGGTCAAAACACAGGTTCAAGCACCACAGAATTTCATAAACAGTAGCCATGAACAATAACCTATTTAGTTCTCTAAACTAATTCACACACTAATCCTGCTTTCATACCATGTTAACCTAGTTCTTACAAGTGAGAAAGAGAGTTGAATAGGATATGTTCAATGATCCACATGCCCAAGAAGAGCGTCTTATATGTGTGTGATGTACAAAGTTGAAAGAGGACCATTATGTCCCTCTCTTACAAGAAAAGAATAAAGTCATACAAGAAATGATAATATACATAAGATACATCTTATAGTGGTGATCCAAAGTCCCATAATACAAGAAAAACAGATATCTGCCTATAAAATTTCTACAATATCTTCTGCCCATCTCTTTTTAGCAATTAGGGTGATAAAAACAGAGTTTGAACTCCTTTCCAGTGCAGCTAAAGAGTGGAATTCAAGCAACACTTTTTTTTTTTTTTCAGTAACAAGAAACTTTATTAATGATATGAAACCATGTGAAACTTTAGGTACAAAGGGGGGAGGTAAAATGTCTTAACTCCCCACCAACAAAATACATTGGAAGAAAGTCAAAAGTTAGCCCAAAATATAGATTCCCTATTCACCCCTTGCTTGGCTAACCCATCAGCAAATGAGTTAGCAGTCGTCTTCACCCAGCTGTAATGCACCACCATATCCCTAAGCCATTTGAATTTTTTCTTCTCATTGTTATAACTCCACAACCCGCTGTTTTGTTCCTTTAGCCACCTAATCACCACCTCCGGAGTCACCTTGAAGGACCAAACATCTGATGTTTAAATCTCTTGCTCTTAGGATACCTTCCAAGGCTACAGAAATCTCAGCCCTAAGAGAGTCTCCTCCAACTGGGCCTGAGAACATGGCAGTGATAACCCCATTCTCATTCCTGAACACTCCCCCAATCCCAAAAGGTCCAGGATTCCTTAAACAACTACCATCAAAATTCAGTTTTATGAACCTAGAGGGAGGAGGGGACCAATAAGGACTACGAGTCCTCTTACATAGGGCGGAGGAAGCTATCTCTTTCCAATTTCTTACCAAATCAGCCACATAATGCCTGGAGAACAGCTCCATAGTTTTCAGCCAGTGGGCTACCCTTACAAGTATTAGATCTAACAAGTCTTTCAGGGTTCTTTCCTTGTCTAAAAATATTCGTGAGTTTCTTTCTTCCCATAGGGACCAACACACTGCTGCCCTAATGCTTCTCCACATGATCTTCCCTCTCTTCTTCGGTCATCTGAAAAAGGAAGAAGAGAACAAGCTTTGGACACTCCTAGGGGGAGTCCAAAAACACCCAAAGGGGGAAAAGACCCACTCCCATACTGTTTTAGCGACCGAGCAAGTAACCATAAGGTTGTAACCAGTAGTTTCCCCATCAATTTTACAAAGAGTACACCTATTAGGAAGTAAACAAGAATTGAGTCTCTTTTTCTGAAGTAGGTCAATTTGTTAATTCTTTCCAAGAAAGTTACCCAACAAAAACTACCAACCTAAGGAGGAATGAGCTTGCTCCAAATTTCTTTAACCGGGAAGGACAACCCAATAGGATCAAAAGGCTGAGTTAATGTCTCAAAAAACGAAACACAAGAGAAAATACCGGAGGAGGGAAGGGTCCAGAATCTGGTGTCCTCCTTATTAGGGTCCAAGAAAACATTTTCGAGGATGGCTAACAGAGACATTATGTATCCCAAGTCTGTATCCCTAATTGCCCTTCTCAGTCCTAGGTTCCACCCAAAACCAGGAGAGTCTGAAGGGCTTAAGAAGGATGAAATGGGTTCATTTTTCAAATTTGATAGAGCATACAAGGAGGGAAATTGGTGCATCAAAGGTGAGTCCCCAATCCAATGTTGTTCCCAAAATTTTATTCTATTACCGGAGTTAAGACCATACCTGATCCAAGGGGAGAAGACTGGAAGCAAATCATGAATGGCTTTCCAAGGAGAGGCAACTGTAGCCCTTGCCAAAATTCCCAGTTCCCAACCGTTGTCCTCCATCCCATGTATGCTAGCCACAATCTTTGTCCACAAGTTATCTCTTTCCAATGGAAACCTCCATAACCATTTCCCCAACAATGCCATATTCCTTTTCCTAATATTCCCAATCCCAAGATCTCCTAACTTTTTACATCTATTTACGACTTCCCACCTCACCCTATGATCCCTCTTTTCCCCTCCTGGTTCCTACAAGAAATCCCTCATTAATTTTTCCAAAATGTTAGAAACCTTTGTGGGGATCTTAAACATTGACATGAAGTAAACAGGTAGGTTAGTTAGGGTAAACCTAATCAAAGTGAC